GGGGTAGGGGAACACTTTGTCTTGTGTTTTTAAATGAAGCATTGCATCCCTTTTCTGTATCTTAGTGGGCAGTAGTTCCCTGGGGTAAAACATCACCCTGCTGCTTTGTACTGGGTCCCTTTCAGTCAGTCACATCATTGTCTACTAGTGGTATTTAGCCACCTTTTTGTATATGAGGGCTGATGTTGATCAAATGTGTGTATTGCAGTGTTTGTGAATATAGTAATGTAATTTTTTGCATATTCTTGTTTTACTTTTGAGCAAGTTTTGCAATTTAAATGTCAGTAAACTATTGAAAGAGCTGTGCCATAGGACATCATGCAAAGATTTTAAATGAAATTTGGCCATACTACATTGTTTTGAGCTTTGCCACTTATAATCAATAAAAATGCCAACAAAATAGAGGTGTTCGTTATCATTGCCTTCTGTTGTGACCATGTCGCTATCAGTAGAGGGAAGTTTAGTAATCAAAAATCATAAGAAAGTGCTAAATGTTGATAATTTATTGACTGCCTAAGTAACTGGTAGATTGTTAATAGATATTACAGTAATACTGGTGTAGAACCATTTTACCTGTACAGAACTACATAGGTATCTTTCACAGAAAATATTCAGGTTCTTTAAATAACCTTTAAAAAAAGGAGATGCTGGAGTCCAGCAAAGGATACAAAACCCCACCAGAGCACTAGCGTAACTTCTACAGCTTACCAATATCTAGAGCAGTATTTTGATTTGTTGGAAAAAACAATCTGCTGACCTGCTGAACTCTCAGTATTTATAAACATTGAACTGGGTGAGAATAAACCAGTGTTGCAAACAGTGTTGTTGTTTTCATGATATGTTTGTGGAGGTTTGCTTAATATGTGCTGAAGTTCTTTTCCATCAGAAGAGGTTGGCAGTCTGTTCCAATTAAAGAATTTTCCATACTGGAAATGAGAAGTCAATTACTACAGTTATTTTTGAATAGCTAATTTACATAACCTTAATTGTATTCATTCCATTTGAAAGGCTGAAGCTGATATTTATAATGCTTTGATTAGCAGTGTGTTTATCATGTTAGAGTTGCTACCAATAAGGTGCTTCTGCAGTCCTGAGGAGTTCTCTCCCATATAAACGTTCTAGAAAGCAAATGACTGTTTATTTCATTGGTGAGGAGTTATTGCATCTTTGCTACCTCCATATGCAGTGCTGAGGTATCTCCTTTGCACTCCTTTCCAAAAAACGGGAATTTAGATCATGTTAATATATTAATGGCGTGTTCCGTACCGTAGAGAAATACATTTTGCTTTTTTAAAAAATCCAAAACTAAATTAAAAATGAAATTAAAAAAATCCAGACTGTCACAGTAGTGCCTGGGTGTAGATGAGGGAACTGCGGGCTTTTCACTGAGCTTGCTCAAAGACTGACAGCAGTAACAAACGTCCCTGCTTTCAGCCAGGCTTGAGGCCTTTGTGGTTTAGCTCCGATGAAATCGTCTTCCAGCCGTTTGCTGGGCTGTATCGCAGCTGTTTGCCTGCTGTTGCCCTGCACTGCGGTGCCTGGCGTGCCCCAGCTCCCAGCATGGAAGCGGAATGCTGCCGTGGATACAGTCGGGAAGCAGTGTGGTGGCAGACGTGTCTTTGTCCTGACTGCTGTGGGAGTTAGGAGGAGCTGATGTGTCTCCATCTGCTGAGCCTTCTTGGTAGGTAAATGAAAGCGGCAGCACCTTGAGATGCAGAACTGATATAATCATTAAGCCATTTGTAATTCTTCCGTCTAATTAAGTGGGTGAAGACCTGGGGCTTTTATCCCCTGTGTTTTCTGTATGACATTTTGCCTAAACCCAACCCATTTCTGACCAGTTGTCAAGGCAGTTGTTTGAATTCTAACCTGTTAGCTCTCAGGAAGTGTCACACAACATTAGGACAGGTGCTTAAGGGATCCTTGGTGGAGCAACACCACAAAAAAGGTGTTGTTACAGTCAAAACTTTATTTTAACCTGGACCCACTGCAGGTCGGGTCCTCTTACAAAACCCTCAAACCCCTGTGCAGATGGCGTCGTTCACTGATGTCCTAGAGAGCCGGTTCCTTGGACACCTCAGCCATTACCCGGGCTGAGGGCACTCACAGAGGAGCCCCTCAGCCGGCCGGGCGGCGGCACGGGCAGGGCCCGCCTTCCTCAGGTGTCCCTGTGCTTCTTGATGGGTCCGGGACCCCGTTAAGAGGAGCAGCGGTAGGGGGGGGTTGGCCGCGGGCTACGGCCGCCTGCCCCAGGAGATGGCGCACGGCGGTGAGAGCCGGTCCGGGGAAAAGGGTGGAATTCCTGTGGTAAAAACTGCGGTGGTAACGCAGTTTGGCTTTCTGGGCTGGCTGGTAGGTAGAGCTGCTATATATTAAAGCTGTCAGTCTGTCCGTGACCTTATTTGTCTGTTAAAATAACTTTAGTAGGAATGATAATACAAAATTCCATTTGAACTTCAGGGGAATAAAGGAAACATGCAGCATTTAGAAACCTAAGTACGTGATAATACCATAATGTGTGTGAGCCTGTGAGAGTGGCAGTGCAGGGGCAGACTGCTGCTCTGGCGTCTGCTAGTGACCACTGGAAAATACTTGAAGAAAGTATATAGAAATAGGGTAATTACAACATAAGTGTCCTCCTTGTTTATCATTCTGGGTTTTACTACTATGTGTTTAGGGGGCTTTTGAATCTGAAGTAATGCTTGCATGTTTCTACTTAACAGTTCCTGCTGATCTCCTCCATCACTAGAGCCACTTCTCAGTGGACTCGGCTTCGTCCAGTTGAGGAATTCCCTTGTTTATTGCCATCAAATCAGAACTGAGCTCCATTTACTGTATGGCAGGGGGGTTGGAGCTAGATGATCTTCAGGTCCTTTCCAACCCTAAGTATTCTATAATTCTATATTGCAAAGTGAACTTGGTATCCTACTACTACCTAAAATGTTTTCAGTGCTGTGGTCCTACACAATCTCCAATTTTCTCTTCAGTAGCAGCCTCCTTCTTAGAAATAAAGTTTCCACAGCAAAAGTGAGACTGTGAAAGCAAACATTTGGTGGGCAACAGTTGTGGAACTTCCTCACGGTGAACTTCCACAATAACATGAACATGATGAATGGTCATTTTACAGACAAAGGAAATACACCATAGGGTTTGCAGTTTTTTCTTGGTATTGGAGAAAATTGCCATGATCTTTTGGTGCCAGGCTCTAAGACAGCCTTTCTGGCTCTATGTAGTTGAGGGGCATAGTGATGACCTGATGATGAACGCAGTCTGAACACTTGTAAGGTTTGCCTATAACACAGGAGTAAGCTAGAGTTGTCTTTGTTACTGGAATGAATCTTCCCTATATGTTTTAAACAAATACAAATTTTATGTTGTAAGAGCTTGCTGTATGGCTGTGGAAAGGAAACGTACTCCATGTGGAAAAGGAGAGCAAGTTTTCAGCATAATTATTTAAGGGGTTTTGTGTGTCGCTGAAATGTGCATTGGTGAATGTGAGCTGACACATTTCTAGCAACCAAATTATAAATGAGTGGAAGACCTGAAAATGTCAGTTTCTTCCTTAGAAGCACTTCAGGATTTTTCTTTTATTTCTTTTTTTTTTTTTTTTTTTTTCCCTCTCATGCGTTTTCTTCTCCTCATAGGCAAATAAGCTCCTTTAAATGTTTATGTTCTGTTTATCATGGGATATAATTTTTGACACTCACTGGAAGTGTCGGAGGAGATTCAATGTACTAACATTTTTATAGAGAGAATGTGAATGCTTACCTTTATATAACAGAGAAAGAGTAGTAAATCAGTGCTTTAAACTTGTTTGTGTATCCTGACAGTGTATAGCCAGTTGTGTGTGTTGTGGTCTTTTTCACGATTAGCTACGAAAAACTTAGTCCTAAGGAATTAAAAAAAAGTGAAATAAACACCTGAAGATATCTTGTACAATGCTTATTAGGCAAAGTATGGTATGAGAACTGCACAGTGTCAGCTAGTGGGGCAGGAAAAGCACTTGTACTGCTGCCCTTACCTCCTCTGCTCTTGGAGAGGGCTCTGGGGTGTCAAGCATCCTGTTGGTTAAGAGCAGAGTCTTCTAATTTGTTTAGATTCATTGCTAATTAATGTAGTTTTGGGTTTGTGTTCCCAGAAGTGCAACATAGTTAATGGTTTTCTTCAAACTGTAACACAGTTTACACTCAGCCACATGTATTTGAGTCACTTGATGAAGCTGTACACACCTTGCTTGTCTGATTATTTTGTATTTGTAGGGATTTTTCTGGTGGTTTCTTTTTTGGATCCTGTCATCATCAGTTGTTGCTTAATCTCGACCTTCCTGTGTGCCTGGAACAATGTATGTGGTATAAGCTTGCAGGAGAAGATTATAGGTACATGGTAGGTAGAGATGTGTGTGTACGTGAACTTGCTGGAGCAAGAAACTTTCATCTGTACAGAGGCATAGGTTGTGCAACTAAGGAAACTTCACACTCTTGTCACTGTGCCAGATGTATCTTGTCCTTATAATGTAATTATTATGTAGTTATAAATAAAATATGTATCTGCTTGCTCATGGTTGTGTTACCTTTGTGCGGTGTGTCAGGCAGTAGCACTAATTTTTTTTAATATAACAGCACCCTCCACCCCCCCAAGAATTAAATGATGTTCTGTGTTTATAAGCATGTTCAGCCCTAAATGTTTTGGAGCAATGTAAAATGCTCACTACTGGTAGTATGCTAACTCTGAAACAAAATTGTCAGCACAGGGCAGTGCTGAAGCACATACTGACCTCTTATTGAACTCGATGTATTTAAACACAAATATATGTACTTTTATGAATCTATGTTTATTACTAGCAGTTCTGAAAAAAGATCGATATCTTTGTACTCCCAAGGAAGAATAAGTTTTACTTAAAAAAAAAAAGGGAAAAAATTAAAAAAGAACAATAAAAAATAAAAGAAGTGAAGTTTGGGAATGCTTCACGTATACAAACCTGTTCTCTTTTGTTTTGGTAGCTGATCGCTGTTTATGATGAACAAGAAACTCACCGGAAGACTGATGGCACCGATGGCAATCTGACAGACAGAAATAGCCCTGACTCCTTCGAGACAGAGGTAGCAGCTCAGCTGGCTGCCTTTCAGCCAATTGGTGGTGAGATTGAAGTGACTCCTTCTGCCCTGAAACTGGGTATGTATATCTTGTATGTTTGTTTACGTCTGGGGGGGTGGGAGGTTTGGTTTCATTTATTTGGGATTTTATTTTTGGTTCTTACCAATATATAGTATTGCTTTATTTCTTTTGTGGGTATGTCTGTAGTCCATTTTGTGTATTTGAAGATCTTGTTTTAATTGTTTGCAATTTGCAGTTCAGTGAAGACAATTGTAATGATAAAAGTTGGGCCTTTGAACAACTGATTCTGAAGACTGCAATGGAGCATGGCAAATTTGCACCTGAGCCTTGTTACCCTGCTGTGTGTTATGCCCATCAGTACAGCTGGGGTCTCTGTTTTTCTCCTTTCTTTGAGGGGATAGGTTGCTGACAGTCCTTCATTGTATTGTTACAAGAGCAGCAGAGATGAAACCTATGCAAATTACAAAGTTGTTGAAAAAAAATCCACAGTTTGGGGTTTTTTTTGGGTTTGGGTTTTCTTGGCTTTGGTTTGGTTTTGTTTTTTTTTTTTTTTTTTTTTTTTTTTTTTTTTTTTGAGGAACCTGGTTCAGTAAGTAAACCTGCTGTGTGCAAATACTTTTATTGATTCTCTGAGCTAGTGCCCTGTTTTGGGGTGGGAAGTAGAAGGAAGGAGATTCTGATTTCAAACAGTTCAGCTCTTTGCCTTTGAAGAAGTTGCACAGCAGGGTCTGTCTGCCTTTTTGACTTTCAGGTGAGCAAACTGTGATTAGGAGAGGCTTCTGCTTAATTCTCTGTTATATCAGGCGGGTACTACGTGAAGTGCTGCAACTCTGTTCTCCCGTGTTGTTTCACTGTACCTGGAAGGCCAAGAGCTCTGAGACTGGTTTCCAATTAGAAAGAGAGAGTCTCGTACGTTGAACACAAAGCAGTTTGAAGTATTTTTGCGTGTTTAGAGCAGGCTCAGCTGTCACCTAGATAGTAGATATAGAAGCTTTCAAAAACAGATTGAAGGTGAATCCTCTTATTGTCTGTCTATAAAGCTGAAGTACACTGACAGTATTTAGCACATGAATAATGCTTGGGAGAGGCTTCTTTGAATTCCACCCAAGCTCATTGCCCAGTTCACCCTGTATGCTTCAGTACTGCTGGCAGTCTCCTAATGGCATGCAATAAAATTTCTGAGTGTAAGCAGGTGGAGTAAGGATAAAAACAGTACCTCTAGTTGTACTACTCTTGTGTGGCAGCCTGATTACAACTTCAGAAATTGAATGTTTACTTGTATGCTTATTTTAATTATATTTTTAAAGGAAAAGGCTGATAAACAAAACCAGTGAGCTAAAATAAAACTTCTAATACAGCTCACTGGATGAAATCTGTGCTGTTTTTTGTGCTTGATGTAGGCAAATACTGGAATTCAAGCTGCATGACAACTTTCGCATTCAAATTTCTGTGTTAATGGATCACTTCTGTTTTCTAGAATACAGAAAAATCTTTCTCTATTTTTAATGTCACACAGGAATTTCTCATGCCTAAAAATCTTGGGAAAGACTTATTCTTGCTGTAACTTGTATGTATTTGATCTATGGTTTTGGTAAGCATGAGGTATGGTAAAATTTGTGGCTAAAGGTTCAGTGATTGAACGGTTTGTCTCTTCATTTATTGCATATTTTTAAATAATACCATGTAGACACAGTTTAGCATGTTTCAGAAAGTAGAGATTGTTCTCCATACCATTCTGAGCTATATTAAAAAGTCCAATCATTTTGAGTAGTTTGTCTAGCATACTGTTGTATGCAAGTTGAGGGTTGGAGGGAAGAGTATTTCAGCTTCATACACTTTTATGTAAAACACTTAATGCTGGAGTTTGTGAGCTCTCCGGTAAGCTACCAGGTAGTTCAGCTTTCATAGCATTTATAGAATCTTTCTACTATAGAGTGTAAAGGATATGAAATATAACATGAGAAGAGCAGATGATTAGGGTTCCATTTAGTTTTCAATGGAAATTAATACATATTTGAAGTTAAAATGGATGCTTGGTTCTTAAAACAAGAGAATCCAAATATGTGTCTGTCTCAATGTAAATGAAAGATTTTCTACCTGTCAGTCCTATGCACTCAGTCAACACTCTGAAATATAGAGTGTAGAGAATTGTTTCCTCTTTTGTATCACGGATTACAGTTCTTTAGACAAAAATTGTTTGTATTTTTCATGTACAAGTCCTTGGACCTTCAGTTATGTCCCTATTTTCACTACAGGCAAATTGAAAAGTAAATGAAGAAATAGAAGGACAGTTTGGTTGCATCATTATCATTGATGCATGAACCACAGTAGTCTGGCTCCTTGTCCAGTTATTGAATTGACCCACATTTTTTTAGCAGAAATAAACAAGTAATTTTTAAAAGCTGTTTTTATTTTGAGAGCAAGGATGTGATTAAATATATATGTAGTGAGCAAGTGTTGCTTTCCATGGTAGAGCCCTGCTTCAAGAACAGTCATATGTGCTAACCTTTTGGAGTATTTTTGTAGAATGGCTTTAGGGGTGAACTGCAGGGAATCCATTATTCTACCATTGTCAGATTGTGGAACGGTTTTGCCTGTTAATTTCTGTTGGATGTTCTGTATTCTGTGAAGCCAGATCCATGGTTTTAGGTAGAAACAATTTGGTCCATTTGGTGATCTGCTGAAAGGATATTTAAGAGCTTAGTGCTTAATAAGCGCGTAAAACTGAACATGACTGCTCCAGTTCCCTTTCTACTTTTTATCCATAATTCAAGTCTAGTGCAAAAGAATATCAAGTCTGGCAGGGGTTTGTTAACTTTTGTTAACTGTACATAGTTTCTTATTTTGAAATATAAAAGAATTTTTAATATAGAAAATCTTGGTGTACGTCTTTCAGTTGACAATAAAATAAATATAGATCTGTTGTAAAAAAAAAAAAATCCCTATTTGACAGAAAATGTGGTTGGGTAGGGAACGTACTTCATGCTACAATACAAATGGTAATAAAGCACCTGTTAATATATATTACAAGATTTAAAGAAACACACAACTATTTAATGGGTTCAGTCAGCTGTTTGAAACGGTGAAGAAATGACCTACTGAATTTGGTATTTCTATGGGTAAGTAGAGAACATTGGTATGCTGTTGCTGAACTGGCAGCTGAGAGAGCTTGTCTCGTGAGACTGCTCCTTGTGAGCAGAACTTGCCAGAGTACACTGATGATGTGGACATTACAGCAATTATCAAAGAATGATACAGGCAACTGAATGCCTAAATAGGTAATTTATGTTTGAAAAATTGGATGGAGGTAAGCTTCAACATCTCTAATGTCATAAATTCTTTATTGCCTTTTTTTCCCTTTCTCCTTAGGTATAAAACTCTGGCTAGGCAAAACCTCACAATGAATACTGGACTTGCAGTATGTTGAATACGTTTTAGCTGTGTGACTTTAGCCATGGTGAATGTCATAGAATCATAGAATAGTTAGGGTTGGAAAGGACCTGAAGATCATCAAGTTCAACCCCCCCTGCCATGGGCAGGGACACCTCCTACTAAACCATATCACCCAGGGCTTTGTCCAGCCTGGCCTGAACACCACCCAGGATGGAGCATTCACAACTTCCCTGGGCAACCCATTCCAGTGCCTGGGCAACCCTTATAGTAACAAACTTCTTCCTTATATCCAATCTAAACTTCCCCTGTTTAAGTTTTAATCCATTACCCCTTGTCCTGTCACTACAGTCCCTAATGAAGGGTCCCTCTCCAGCATCCCTATAGGCTCCCTTCAGATACTGGAAGGCTGCTATGAGGTCTCCACGCAGCCTTCTGTTCTCCAGGCTGAACAGCCCCAACTTCCTCAGCCTGTCCTCATATGGGAGGTGCTCCAGTCCCCTGATCATCCTTGTGGCCCTTCTCTGGACTTGTTCCAACAGTTCCATGTCCTTTTTATGTTGAGAACACCAGAACTGCACACAATGCTCCAAGTGAGGTCTCATGAGAGCAGAGCAGAGGGGCAGGATCACCTCCTTTGACCTGCTGGTCACGCTCCTTTTGATGCAGCCTAGGGTACGGTTGGCTTTCTGGTCTGTGAGTGCACACTGCCGGCTCATCTTCATTTTCTCATCGACCAAACCCCCCAAGTCCTTCTCCACAGGGCTGCTCTGAATGTCTTCTCTGCCCAAATGTAAGGCAACAAATGCCTCAGTAAAAGAATTCATTTAAAAATTCTGTGTTAGAGATGGTCTTTTGGCTGTTTGACTCCTCAGCCCTTCTCCTGCCTGGCATGAAGGCTCTTGTATAGTAAGCATCACTTTTGTACTTGTGTACCCTTAGAAGACTAAATATAGTTATTTCACTGGAGCAGGACTATGACTGACAATTAGTTGTTTTCCCATCTTTTCCACAAGATTGTGATGCTCGCTGGGAGTAGATGTCATCTCTAGCAGTATTTCATTTCTGTATTGTTCTTTCATCTCCTTTGGTCTGAGCTTGCATAGTCAGACACAATTATTTTGAATGGATAATTGAAAGTTAGGATGCAGTAATGTTTTTTTAAAAATGGTGTATCAAAGTCATTTCAGAAACACATTTCCTTTATTCTGCACAGATGGTGGGTTTTGCTTTCTACAAATGCTGCTTAGATAAATACTTTTTGCCCAGTCACTGTTGTTGATCATTGATCTTTGTAACAATTTTGGCAAATTGTGTACAAGTCTATTCATTGATATAACTACTAGTAGACTAACAAGTGTTTGGGATGATGAAACATTTGGATATCCTTGTATGTAGGTGGTAATTACTGGGTTAACTAGCATTGGGTTTTGTTGGCATTGGGTTTGGGTGTGTGTTTTGTTTAAGTTTTTGCATATACCATGTTTTAATATTTCTCTTTGGCCAGAGATCATAGCTGAGAAATCTTTGCAGAGGAGGGACTTACCTTTGCAGACCTTGTTGACTGATTGCCTTTATTCTCTGTTCCAAACTGCTGTTTTGTTGCTGATGTATGATTAAAAAGTCATTCTCTCATCTTAAAGATAGCTTTGCTGGGGTAGTGGATG